GTAAACTAGTACAACTACTCTGGATAGCAGTCTGGAGGTTTCTCAAAAAACTAAATATGGATCTTCCCTAAATATGGATCTACCCAGCCATACTACTCCTAAACTATCTATCCAGAACATCACAAGCCAGGATATCATAAAGATACTTGTATATCTACGTTTATTGTTGCACTATTCACAATAGCCACATTATAGAAACAGCCTAAATAACCTACATTAGATGAGTGGATCAAAAAAAAAAAATGTGGTACCTATATACAATGGAATTTTATACTGCAATTAGTAAGAATAATGTTATGTCATTTTCGGGAAAAAGGACAGAGATAGACCTAGAACAAATCATGTTAACTGAGGTAAGCTATGCTCAGAGAAACAAATGGGTACATGTTTTCTCAGGAAGCTAGATCTAAAATACCCTAGGCTGGGCACTGGTGACTCACGCCTGTAATCCTAGCTACTCATCCTGAGTAGTTAGCTACTCAGGCTGAGATCTGAGGATCATATTCAAAGCCAGCCCAGGCAGGAAAGTCCATGAGACTCTTATCTCCAATAAACCCTAGAAAACTGGAAGTGGCGTTGTGGCTCAAGCGGTAGAGCACTCGCCTTAAGCTGAAGAGTACAGGGACAGCGCCCAAGCCCAGAGTTCAAGCCCCACCACTGACCAAAAAAAAAAAAAAAAATACCCCAGGGCGTGATCAATTATACAGGACAATAGGCATTCACATACAGTGAGATCAAAGGAGGATACTCTTAGAGGAGGAATACAAAGGTGCAATGTCTGTGTGCATCTGATCACATAAAATAATATTTTTCAAAATGAACTCCAGGAAATAGAAACAAGGGTTTTGTTGGTGGTGGTGGTTTTGTTTTGTTTTTTGTGGTTGGTCATGGGGCTGTCCCAGAGCTCTTTTGCTCAAGACTAGCACTCCACACTCTGGTTTTCTGGTAATTAATTGGAAATGAGAAGCTCATGGACTTTGCTACCCAGGCTGACTTTGAATCACGATCCTCAGATCTCAGTCTTTTGAGTAGCTAGGACTAGAGGTGTGAGCCTTGTTTTTGTTTTCTTTTCTTTTTGTCTTGTTTGTCCGTTTGTTTGTTGTCTATCTTTGGGAGGGTGGGAGCGGGGCACAGAAATGGAGGATCAAAGAGTAAACAAATGCAGTAGTGGTACTCACTAGACACTAATGTTGAAAATAAACTATACAACTTGTATATAGAGATGGGAAAATCCGGGTGTCAATGGCTTATGCCTGTAATCCTAGCTACTTAGGAGGCTGAGATCTGAGGATTGTGGTTCAAAGCCAGCCGGAGCAGAAAGTCCATGAGACTTATCTCCAACAAGCCACTCAGAAAATCGGAAGTGGTGCTGTGGCTCAAGTGGTAGAATGCTCCTTGGGCTGAAGAGTGGAGGGATAGAGCCCAGGGCCCACGACCAACCAAAAACAAACAAACAACAGAAATGGGAGGGAAAAACTGGAAGACAGTAAGGGAAGGGATGATACTGTTTTCCCTGCCCCCCAAAAATGCTCGTGCTGGGTGCTGGTGGCTCACTCATGCCTGTAATCCTAGCTACTCAGGAAGCTGAGATCTGAGGACTGCAGTTTGAAAACAGCCTGGACAGGAAAGTTCATGAGACTCTTATCTCCAATTAACCGCCTGAAAACCAGAAGTGGTGCTGTGGCTCAAAATGGTAAACTACTACTAGCCTTGAGTGTAAAAGGTCAGGAACAGTGCCCAGGCCCTGAGTTCAAGCCCCACAACCAACAAAAAAAGAAAAAGAAAAAAGAAATGTACTCATTACCTGACTTATGTAACTGTAACCCTTCTGTACCTGAAAAATAACGGCGCAAAAATGACTGGAGGTATGGCTGAAGTGGTAGAGTAACTACCTACCAAGTATAAGGCTCTGAGTTCAAACTCTTAATACTGTCATACACCAAAAAATTATAAGGCCAGGTGTGGTGATTTACATCTGCAGTCATCTATATAATGAGAGATCACTGTGTGATTTCAGCATGTAACTTGGAAGGTGTCAAGGGAACTGGGATGATCATATTCCTTGGTCTAGCAAGCTAATATTGCCAATGGGTATTAAACTTTTAAACCTAGTCATCTGCAAAGAAAAAACATTTAGTTTATACGCCCATGGCACATTTATGGATTCTAACCAGTCCACATATTCTAAGAGTAAAATGTTTTTGCTTCTCAATAGAGGTAGGTTTACAAAGTATTTGGTGAAGAATCTGCAGTCATACTGTGTAAAAACATCCTCAATTAGAAAGCCTACCTCCTGTCAAGTAAGCCAATAAGCAACAAAAATCCTGTACTCAACCAGGGTACTCAAGGTAGACAGTAACTGGACAGGATCTTTAAATGAAGAGGCTACTAGGTTTTTGGAGCCAAGGAAAGAATTTACATTTGCTTGTGTGGAGGAGTTATGTAACTGAGATATATAACCTTAAGCCAGTGCCAGTAGCTCATACCTGTAATCCTATGTACTTGGGAGGCTGAAATCTGGAGAATTGAGATTTGAAGCCAGCCTGAAAGGTCTGCAAGACTCCATCTTCAATTAATGATCAAAAAGCAAGCCGGGCGCCGGTGGCTCACGCCTGTAATCCTAGCTACTCAGGAGGCTGGGGTCTGAGGATCGAGGTTCAAAGCCAGCCCGGGCGGGAAAGTTCTTGAGACTCTTATCTCCAATAAACCACTAGAAAACCGGAAGTGGCGCTGTGGCTCAAGCAGTAGAGCACTTGCCTTGAGCTGAAGAGCACAAGGACAATTCCCAAGCCCAGAGTTCAAGCCCCACGACCGACCAAAAAAAAAAAAAGCAGGGTTGGAGACATAGCTCAAGTGGTAGAGCACTGGCCATGAGCAAAAAAGGTGAGTGAGAGCTCAAGGCTGGAGTTGAAGCCTCCCTGCCCTACCCTCACCCCCCCTTTCCTTTCTTACCCATAGGCTTCAGGCTTCACCACTTCTATCTTTTCTCTTCCTCCCCCTGTGGCCCTCCTTTCTCCTCTTCTCTTTCAGAGAAGGTTTTTCTTTGTAGATCAGTCTGGCCTGACCTCATTATGCAGCCCAGGCTGGCTTCAAATTCTCATCTGCCTGCATCCTCTTCCAGAAAGTTAGGAGTACAGGTGTGGGACACCATGCCTGGATTCTCTTTCCTATTTTCTTATTTTCCACTATTTTCTATTCTATTTCTTCTAACTCTCCAAGGTATTTTTCTTAAACAACTGAAGATTATGAAAGAAGAGCCTATGAGGAAGCTTCTTGGGTCAAGCTGGAATCAATACAGCCTTTGACATCTCTTATTTTCTCTTCTTATCCTCAAATTCTGTACACTTTTTCTACTGATACATCTCCCTGTTGCTAGTCTTTCCTAACTATATCCCTGGAACACTCAGTAGTAAAAGACAGTTGACTAATATTTGTCCTCAAAGAGTTGTTATGTGTAAGCAAGATTAAAGCTTCAGAAACTTGTGTAGATACGTCTGTACATATATAAATACCTTCTACGCTGTCTTTGTGACTCACAACACTTTACAATTCTGGACTGCCTTTCAACCGTAGTTTTGGTCCTATCTCCAGCAGTATTGTGATGGTTAATTTTGTGTATCAACTTGGCTGGTGAAGACATTACTCTAGATGTTTCCATTAAGGTCATTATTTACATGGGATTAACATTTAAACTCCTGGGGAAAAAAGGAGATTACTCTCTATAATATGGGTGGGCTTAACCTGATCAGTGGACAGCCGTAACAAAGACCTCTTTCAAGTAAGAAATTCTACCATCATTTGGATCGATCTCTCTCACTCGTGCTCTCTCTCCCATCCCCCCCAAAAGCAGAGAAAATGGGTGAAGGAAATAGGTAATTGTAAAAAAGCCAGATACAGGCCTTATGAATAACTTCCTTAAAACCCATTCACTAGTCCTCTACGATAGAAGCTGGAAGGCTAAAACGAGTTTTAATTTTCTCAAAACCACTCAATAGTTCTGACACAGTTAGCTTGATGCAGAAGAATTCCTTCCCAAATACAGGCCAAAGTCTTACTAGAATAAAGCACTAAGCTCTAAGCCTTTCCTCATACCTGGAGCATGATAGGTTCAGGTGTTAAAAGAGTACATGAGAAGGCTGGTCTTCAGCTGTGCTAGGCTTCCACCTTGCCCCAAGCACTCCCTATATCGTATCCCAACTAAAAGTGCAAGTAGAATTGGACTTCATAGGCCCATGTGTATTCTGACCTTTGTGAAAGCTGAGACTCTATTAAAGAGAGAACTTTTAAGAACCCAGCTGTAAGCTGTCTGCACAGATTGGAAACTGTAATGGGAGGGAGTTGTACTAAAAAAAAATTCCTGAAAGTAATGATAGTGAAGCATTAGCAATCATAACCATGAATCATTAAGGAAAATACCTTTATAAAATCTCTATGAAGGGGCTGGGAAGGTGGCTCAGTGGTAGAGTGCTTGCCTTGCATGCACGAGGCCATGGGTTCGATTCCTCAGCACCACATAAGCAGAAAAAGCCAGAAGTGGGCCTGAGGCTCAAGTGGTAGAGCGCTAGTCTACAGCTGAAGAGCTCAGGGACAGCGCCCAGGCCGAGTTCAGGCCCCACGACCGACCAAAAAAAAAAAAAAGCTCTATGAAAATATGGCATTAAGTATTTTATGCCTCAAAGACAGGAGGAATTAGGATAGAGCATTGCTTTAGTCATATGCACTGTAATATACTAGGTGGATTTAAATTTTTTACCCTTAGGCTTCTGACATTAGAGAACTATAATGTTCTACAAAGCCATCATGTAATAAAACCTCACTAATGAGGGATCAAGAAAAGAACTTACTGGCTAAGTTGGTAAAAATGTGAAGTAAACCATCCAAACAACCCAGTAAATTTTTAAGTCAACAGTATCCTGTCTTTCAAGGCTACCAATGACATAGCTCTACAACCAAGAAAACCTAATGTAATCAAACAAGAGCCTTCAAACGCTCAGGCTTACCTTTCTTTTCTCCTGTGTAGGGCACATAGTCTTCCCGGTCCTTCTGTTCCAGGGCTTCCTTCTCCAGATATGAAAGCAGGTGTTCTCGATCAAATGGCCCTGTGGCTGATTTTGATGTCTGGTTCTTCTGGCGGAAACCCGCAGGCAGGAGGGCATTCTGCCAAGAGAGTGAGCCAGCCATTAGGAACACCAAGCATGCCAGTCCTGGTGTTTCCCGAGATTTCCCATACAAGAAAATCGTATTCAAAACTAAACACTTCACTGTAGGATTTTAGCACAGTAATGCAAACATGCTCCAAAAAAGGAGTCTTTAAAAAAACAGTTAGAGGGCTGGGAAGGTAGCTCAGTGGTAGAGTGCTTGCCTTGCATGCATGAGGCCCTGGATTCGATTCCTCAGCACCACATAAATAAAAAACCCAGAAGTGGCACTGTGGCTAAAGTGGTAGAATGCTAGTCTTGAGCTGAAGAGCTGAGGGACAGTACCCAGGCCCAGAGTTCAAGCCCCATGACCGGACCAAAAAAAAAAAAAAAAAAAAAATCAGTTAGAATGCACTTACATTATTATTAAGATAGTTTCCTAGGTTTTTTGTTCTTCCTAGGTTTTTTTTCTTCAGAAAAAAAATTCTACACCATTTACTTTTTAAATGTCGAAGAATTGTTATAAATATAGTGTTGTGTCTTTTTTTTTTTTTTTTGGTCCGGTCGTGGGGCCTGAACTCTGGGCCTGGGCGCTGTCCCTCAGCTCTTCAGCTCAAGGCTAGCGCTCTACCACTTGAGCCACAGCGCCACTTCCAGTTTTTTTTCTTTTTTGCTTATGTGGTGCTGAGGAATCGAACCTAGGGCCTCGTGCATGCAAGGCAAGCATTCTACCACTGAGCCACCTTCCCAGACCAGTGTCTTATTTTTTTGAGACAAAGTCTCATTATGTAGTCCTGGTTGTCTTAGAACTCACTAACAAAATCTTAGCCTGGGGGCACACTTCTAGCACCCCACTCACATGTTTGAGGTCAGCCTAGGCTACACAGCAAGAGGTTTTAATAACTACTCAGCAAATATATATATAGAAAAGTATCACAAAAGAATTTTAAGCAATTATAGATAATATTCCGTCATGACTTCCATTTAACTGTGGAGTCTTTCTCATGAAAAAAATGCACACTAATGTGAAGGAGAAAATGTACATTATTATAAGATTAATGTTTGCCTGCTTTTGTTTAAACACAACATGAAAGCTTCTACTTTGTAGGTATACACATAAGCACAAGGACGTACCTGCAGAAATTACTGCCTCAATGCACCCGAAGACACCCACCGCAAGGCCCGCCTCCCTGGGTTTTCATGTGACCTGCCTCTCAGTGCATGGATGCAGAGGGGGAGGCGTCAGATGCCTGACGCTCTTCACCCCTCATTCCCACTCCCCTGTAGCTTCACCCACCGTAGTCACACAGACGTTTTTTCCTCCCTTTGCCTGTTAAATACTTCCTTGAAACAGAGATTAGCCTATCTCAAAGAGCTAATCAGCTGCTATGCCTTTAAAAACATTCTTCCCAGCAAAGAGAAAAAAAGTTTTCTTAGAGGAAAAAAAAAACAAAAAATCAGGAGATGTTTGAGAAGACAGGTTAGAATAGTGGTGTCATAATGACACCAGTAATTGGGAGTATCCATGGTTCAAGGCCAGCTAGGCAAAAAGTAAGATTCCTATCTCACTTAATAGTGAGTGTGGTGGCCTGGGCCTGAGATGCCAGTAAGGCAGGAGACAATAGTAGATGTGAGCCACTCACACCTGTAATCCCAGAGACTCAGGGAGGTCAAGATCTGAGGATCAAGGTTTGAAGCCAGCCCAGGCTTGCACCTACATCAGGGTCAAGATCATCCAGAACAGTTTCCAGTTGTTTCAGTTCCATTTCTGACAGGTTCCCAAGAATCTCATCTTCATCCAGGTCCTTGTACTTCTCTAAGTCCTTCCGAAATGGGAGTGCCATGATTTGCTGTGTATAAGTCACCTGCTATGCAGAACAGGAAGAGATGATTTCTATAATTTCTTACAGCTGTGGAAGAACAACAAAAACATGTAAATATTATTTACCTTATCTACTTGCACTTCTTATTACAGAAAGTGAAACACAAATTCCGTGTAGTCTAACAGTCTACTGTTATCTATGGATTATCCAATACATTTACTTTTCTTTGTTGACAAAATAATCAAATGTGCAGGATTAAAATTCAAACCCATTAAAACAGCTACATAAATCTTAGGGACAAAACAAATTACAAGGTAGCCTAAATTTAAATTTTTCCCACAGGTGCTGGTCGCTCACGCCTGTAATCCTAGTTAATTGGGAGGCTGAGATCTGAGGATGGCAGTTCATAGCCAGCCCAGGCAATAAAGTCCCCATAGGACTCTTACCTCCAATTGGCTACCAGAAACCAGAAGTGGAGCTGTGGCTCAAAGTGGTACAGCAAAAGGAGCTCAGGGACAGTGCCTAGGCCCTGAGTTGAAGCCCCACCCCCTCCAAAAAAATTTCCCTTAATGACTACAAATTATTCTACCAGAGCCCTTTACATAGTACATTTAAGTTTCATTTGTTTTACTGCAATCTAGAGAACAATGTGGCTTAATACAGGGGAATAACAATATACTCCCCAGAAATGCAGTGGACTTTTGCCACTAAAAAGGTTTCTGAAACAGACTTGAAAAAAAAATTGGCTGGCTGCCAGTGGCATACACTTGTAATCCTAGTTACTGGGAAGGCTAAGATCTGAGGATAGAAGTTTGAAGCCAGCCCTGGCAAATATATCTACCAAACTTTTATCTCTAATTAACCAAAAAAAAAGCAAGAAATGGCTAGCCTTCTGGAAAAAAAAAAAAGCTAAGGGACATGAGTTCAAGCCCCAGTACTAGCATAAAAATAAATGAACAAATAGATATAAACATAAACATGGAGGGCTGGGAAGGTGGCTCAGTGGTAGAGCGCTTGCCTTGCATGCTTGAGGCCCTGGGTTCGATTCCTCAGCACCACATAAGCAAAAAGAAAAAAGCCGGAAGTGGCACTGTGGCTCAAGTGGTAGAGCGCTAGCCTTGAGCTGAAGAGCTGAGGGACAGCACACAGGCCCAGAGTTCAGCCCCATGACTGGACCCCCCCAAAAAAAAACCATAAACATGGAGCCCTACTTGATAGGTCATTACCAATGCCCCCATATTCACCCACATAGATGTATGTCTCCCCTATGGTAGCCATTATATTGAACTATAACTATTTACCTGGCATATATATGCTTTTTTGTGTATGTGTGTGCCAATCCTGGGGCTTGAGCTCAGGGCCTGGGTGCTGACCCTAAGCTTTTTTTGATCAAGACTGGAGCTCTACCACAGCTCCACTTCTAGCTTTTATGAGTAGTGTATTGGAGATAAGAGTCCGACTTTTTTCTGCCTGTGATGGCTTTGAACTGTGATCCTCAGATCTCAGCCTCTTGAGTAGCTAGGATTATAGGCATGAGCCACCAGTGCACAGACAGTTTGCCTTTTTTAACATTTCTTAGGTAAAGGGGCCTACAGAGCATTATATCTCCTCTTATAACTTACTTTTCTTATTTTTTTTGAGTTAATTATGCTTCTTTCAATTGCATTTCTACACAGAAGACATTTAAGGTACTGGTAGTCTTTCCCCCTTATTTTTTTTTTTTTTGCTGTAAAAAAATCTCATTACCTTTGAGCTGAAGAGCTCAGGAACAGCACTCAGGCCCAGAGTTCAAGCCCCACAATCAACAACAACAACAAAAAAAAACTAAAACAAAAGAAAAACAAAACACAAAACCTCTTTACTTATTTCCTGGCATACATGAATAGGCTTTTCTGCAAAATTCAAAAGTAGGAACAGAATTTCTGGAGAGAGGGTATGCTTACACTCAACTTTATTTGATAATACCAAACTATTTTCAAAGGGATTGCATCGATTTACATCTCTACGAGATTCAATACAAGACAATTCATGTCTTTACTAACTTGGCATTATGAGCTTTTACTCTAAGCCAGTTAGGTATATATGAATGGTATTTCACTTCGGCTTTCATTTCCATTTTGAATTATTGATGAAGTTTTTCTTTTTTTTTTTTGTCGGTCGTGGGGCTTGAACTCTGGGCCTGGGTGCTGTCCCTCAGCTCTTCAGCTCAAGGCGAGCGCTCTACCACTTGAGCTACAGGCGCCACTTCCGGTTTTGTGGTGGTTTATTGGAGATAGGAGTCTCACAGTCTCTCCTGCCCGGGCTGGCTTTGAACCGCGATCCTCAGATCTCAGCCTCCTGAGTAGCTAGGATTACAGGCGTGAGCCACCAGCGCCCGGCTTTTGATGAAGTTTTTCATATGCCCACTGGCCAATGGCATCCTTTTCCTGAAAATAATCTGCTGCCTATTTTTATATTGGGCTCACTCTCTCTTCTTTATAAGAGTCCACTTATGTATTCCAGATACTAATTTTTTTTTTTTTTTCAGGTAAAGCATAGGTTTATTCAGTAGACCTGCTGGGACCAGGCAAGGTTGGCACTCCACATGGCTGGGAAAGGACTGGGAATGAGAGAGAGCTGGAAGAGAGAGGAAAGAGAGAGGAAAGAGCTAGAAAAGAGAGAGCAGAGAGAGCTAGAAAAGAAGAGAAAGTCTGGGCCTGGTCTAACCCTTATCTAGGGTATGGGCGGAGAAAGGTGTGGCCACATCAAATTCAGATGTGACCTCAGCAGATGCAGATGTGACCTCTTCCAGGTGTGCTAGTTGCCTAGGTAACGCAGGTACTGGGTGGAGACTTTAGACCTGCTGGGACCAGGCAAGGTTGGCACTCCACGTGGCTGGGAAAGGACTGGGAATGAGAGAGAGCTGGGAAAGAGAGGAAAGAGAGAGGAAAGAACTAGAAAAGAGAGAGCAGAGAGAGCTAGAAAAGAACAGTGAGAGCCCAGATACTAATTTTTCACACTAAGTTGAGTGTAAAACATTTCTTCTTCCATTTTCTTTTAACCATATGAGATCATTCTGATATAGCCTAAGGGAAAATGTTTCTATGCCCAGGATCAAGAGGCCAGACGATCCAGAGTCTGTTGAACATGTGCATGCTGACAACATAGCTGGTTCCCTCCAGGTGGGCCTCAAGTGGTACAAGAGGCCAAGCAGGCCTGGCACCTGTGGCTCACGCCTGTATTCCTAGCTACTCAAGAGGCTGAGTTGTGAGGATTGTGGTTCAAAGCCAGCCCAAGCAGGAAAGTCCGTGAGACTCTTATCTCCAATAAACCACCAGAAAACCAGAAATAGTGCTGTGGCTCAAGCAGTAGAGCACTCGCCTTGAGTTGAAGAGCACAAGGACAGCGCCCAAGCCCAGAGTTCAAGCCCAAGACTGACAAAAAAAAAAAGAGGCCAAATAGGCCTCTGGAACCTCTTTTCTCCAGGCTCTTTCTACATGATCACATCACCTCCCAAAGGTCCCTTCCTTAATACCATCACATTGGTGATTCCATTTCAACCTGTGAATGGGTTTGGGGGGAGGACAAAAGTATTCAGACCAGGCTGAGAAGGTAGCTTAGCGGTAGAGTGCTTGTCTAGCATGCATGAAGCCCTGGGTTCAATTCCTCATTACCACATAAACAGAAAAGGCCAGAAGTGGTGCTGTGGCTCAAATGGTAGAGTGCTAGCCTTGAGCAAAAGAAGTTCAAGGACAGTGTCTAGGCCCTAAGTTCAAGGCCCCAGACTGGTTAAAAAAAAAAAAAAGTATTCAGACCAAGATACTATCTACCACAACCACTTTCTAAACAAGAAAAGAAAAAAGAAGTCCTTTTTTCAGTTGTACATAATGTATATTAGACATTTTCACATAATATATTAAGTAAATACAATGGATGTTGGACCTATCCTTCTGTTCATCAACTCTGCTATCCAGTATTTTTTTTTTTTTTTTTGGGGTCCGGTTGTGGGGCCTGAACTCTGGGCCTGGGCGCTATCCCTCAGCTCTTCAGCTCAAGGCTAGCACTCTACCACTTGAGCCACAGCGCCACTTCCAGCTTTTTTCTTTTTGCTTATGTGGTGCTGAGGAATCGAATCCAGGGCCTCAGGCATGCAAGGCAAGCGCTCTACCACTGAGCCACCTTCCCAGCCCCTATCCAGTATTTTTAGTAAAGACTTTTGTGATATTCTTGAGGTGTGGCATGTAGCAGTTTACCCAGGTATGGGCACATCTGGGACAGACACCTACTTTGCTTGCTTGCTTGCGACAGGATCTTAGCTATGTAGCCCTGACTGCCCTAGAACCTGCTGTGTAGTCCAAACTAGCTTTAAATTCTATCCTCTTGCCTCAGCCTTAAGTGCTGAGATTACAGGCACACACCACCATGCATGGCTGAGATAGCAGCTTTGCACATAGAAGTTTGAGAAAATAGTGGCTTATTTCTCTGTATAAAAAAAGCTCCATGTAAAGGATACAACTAAAGTATAAGACTAGCTAAAGTAGCACTGTCTTCCCTGCCTATAACTTGTGCCATCTTTAATTTTTTTTTTTTTTTTTTTGGGGGTCCGGTCGTGGGGCCTGAACTCTGGCCCTGGGCGCTGTTCCTCAGCTCTTCAGCTCAAGGCTAGCACTCTACCACTTGAGCCACAGTGCCACTTCCGGCTTTTTTTCTTTTTGCTTATGTGGTGCTGGGAATCGAACCCAGGGCCTCAGGCATGCAAGGCAAGCACTCTACCACTGAGCCACCTTCCCAGCCCCTGCCATCTTTAATTTTTTAAAGTGAGATCTACATATCCCAAAACACATGCAAGTAAAAAAGTCCAAAGTCTGAAAAGCAGCCCAGAAAAATTCATTAAGGTGGAGCAAAGAAGAGATTTAATCAGAAGCAGGTTAAAGAGGACAACCTTAAAGTATAAAAGCAGCTAGATCACTGCTAAAATAGCAGGTTACTCCCACCAGTTCGTTAAGACCCTACTGAAAGATATGGCTCCTATGTAAGTAACCCACTTCCTTTTTCTGGCTCAAAGCAGAAAGTCAGCTCCCACTCCTACCTCATCTCTTCTCCTTCTC